TTTTGTTTTGTTTTCAGAGGTTTCTAATAATGTGAGGCCCTAAGCTGTAGCTTACTTACCTTTGTCTAAATCTAGCACTGCAGGCAAGTAAGCAAATGCTAAGCCTGGCATTATGAGAAAGCCTGGTAGCTAATTCTTTGGAGAAAGAAGGGTGTGGTCTCCAGATCTAACAACGCTTAAAGCAGATTTAATGCTGTCTATAATTCCTTTTAAATTGCTTGCAGAGAACTTTTTAAAAAGTAGAAATACCTCACTTTGCAAGTGCAACATTGCTCTGTAAGAGTATAGGGAGGTTTTAGGAGGTAGTGAGGAATTAGTATGGGTAGGCCCAGTGGTGTGCTGGTAAATATTTAAGAATCTAGCTGTGCTGCTAGCCCCCAAACAGCTGACCAGCATGCCACTTGCCATGGCTATGGTCTGCTCTCAACTGTCTTGCAAAATTCCAGAAAATTTAACAACTGTCTCTCATGGTATAAGCCAGCTCCAGCTCACCACTGGGTAGGCCCCTCCTATCCCCCAACCCCATGTCTAGGAGTCTAGGATGTGTGAAGCCCCATATAGCTGGCAAGGCCAAGGAAGTAAGAATGACACAAATTTTAGTAAGTTATCTTTAAATACTAGCCTGGGATAAATGCAGAATATGGGAAACTATAAGAGGAATTTCTCAGCTTCAGAGTGAGTTAATTAAAGAGAGTTTCTTTGAGGCTGAGTTGCCATATCTGACATGATCTTTTAACTGACTCACCCTCAGCTCTCCTCCAATCTCTCACAGGAGGAGAGATCTGTGTTCTGTTACAAAATTAGGAGATGAGTGAACTTCTCAGGAAGAACTTCCAACTGGCTCTCTGGTTCTTGTTGACTGGTAAAGTAGTAAACATGCTCATTCCAGTAACATTCTGAAAGCCTTAAATACTGTACTGGGGTTCTGCTGTACTTCAGAAATAATTTGAAAAAGGTGTTTCAGGGTATGCAGGAATGCAAATGTAGTACCTGTATGCATGTCTTTAAAACAGCTGCATCTTTTCTTGCTGCTCCCTGTAGCTGTCATATGAAAAAAGCTTCTGTTTGGCAATGTGAGACAGCTGAGTTCTGAAAAATCTGGGGACAAGTAGCTGACCAACTCATCCATGCATGTGCAAAACAGGATATATAATCCCAACCAACCAATAAATTTTGTTTCTCCAAAACTCCTGCATGAATGATGTTACAGTACTTAGTAAGGTAATGAAATATTTGCAACCCAAAAACTAAGCTTGAAAAACTCCTACAATGCAAGATATCAACCCTGAGATACACATTATTGTGCTTAATTAAAATATTGCTATGTCCCCTTTGACCCCTTCAGTGGGTATGGAATGTCATGTCACTTAGTAAGTACACAAACCAATTACTTACTTGCATTTAAACCAAACAGTGAAAACTTAACCTTTAGCACCTCCAACCAAGCTCAGAGAGCACCAAGGACTCCACAGTTCAACCCTGAGCTACATATATTCTCTTCTATTGAAAGAAAGAATTTACAAACAGTTGCTTGGCATTTGCATAATAGCAACTGGAAATAAAATGATGTTCCAGATGAAGAATTGCTGTTATTGTAGCATCGCAACCGATAACAGGTTTGAGAGGCAAAGATTTGCTGCCTTGCAAGCTGGAAGCAATGACAGTGTCCCAACCCAACTAGTCCTGTCACACTAGTGTTCAGAGATATACAGCTTCTGAATTATAGAGACATTGTGATAAGAAAGAATTAAAAGACCTCCTAATTGACTATATCCACACAATTGCAGATTTCTTGCTTTGGCAACATTTATACATGAAACAAATAACAAAGAAAAGGCTGAAACTTGCTCTGAGGTACAGCTCTGAAAATGGTGGTCCTTGACTTATGACCACAATAGGGACTGGAAAATTGTTAAATGGTGTGGTCGTTAAGTGAGACGTCATGTGACCGCACCCAATTTTTTTCACATTTTTGTGGTGGTTGTTAAGTGAATCACCATGTTCATTAAGTCAATCATGTGTATCGTTAAGTGAATCATGCAATTTCCCATTGATTTTGCTTGCCGGAACCTGGCTGGGAAGGTTGCAAATGGCGATCATGTCACCCATGGGACACTGCAACCTTTGTAAATATATGCCAGTTGCCAAGCGCCTGAATTTTGATCACATGACTGCAGGGATTACTTCCTTGGGACATGCAACAATCATAAGTGTGAGGATCAATCATAAGTCACTTTTTTCAGCACCACTGTAACTTCAAATGGTCACTAAACGAATGGTCATAAGTTGAGGACTACCTGTAGTGAGGTGCTTGCTGGAAATTAGAGGTAGGTAAACAGCTCTAGCATGTCCAGTTGCACTACCATTCTTAGGGCCAAATTAAGCCACACACAGGAAATGTAGGAACTATCTTGTTTCTTTTATTGAAATGCAGCCATTTGTGGATCAGTTTGTGGATCAAGCCACAGCAGGGAGAGCATTGTTTAACATATTCTACTGTACACAGTCCCTACTTTCAAGGTACATCATACATTATCCAACAGAGATGCCACCCAACTGGAGAAGGTACAGGATCAAAAAACTGTGACCAGAAAAAGGCCTATGAGAAAGAGCTAAGGACTAAGCACACTGAATGCTACAATTAAATGTTAATGACTTGTCTCATTTTCAGGGTTTCAGGGTTAAAAAACAGCAAATTAGAGAGTGTGTGAAACACCCATAAATGTTAAGACAAGGTTATTTTTGGTATGCATGTATTGTCTCATTCAGTTTATGAGAACTCTTTGAGGTCATAATGCCAGCCCCTCAAATTCTAGATCCAGAATAGTTTAAAACTAACCTTATGCATACTTACCTGTAAGACCCACTTCATTTACTAGGAATTTTGCATTCTAATGGCATGAATTTTATAAGAAATCCACAAGGATGTTGTGAGGATCATAAGAACAGGGATGTGGTTTAATTTATGTATGTTCTGATATTACTTTCACAAAGGCAGATGTGCTGGCAACTCTACCCAAGTTCTAGCAGTATAATTCAGGCTATGATTTATTGTTTAGATAGAATCTTTAATATCCTTTAAGACCTAATTTTAAACTCCCACTGCTTTGATCCTCTATTATTCCTTCACTGATAACAAAAGGATAACAAATTATACTCCGAAGCCTTGCTGCAGAATCATTTCCTTTTCCCATTCAGCTCTACAGATCTATCTAATGAAATCTATTCTATTTGCTTTCACCAAATGATCCTGTGTCACCAATAAGACTTGACAGACCAAGAGGAGATTTCTAATAGCACTGACTAGAATGTTCACAGTCTTAAGCTATGGCTTTACATCATGCTGTTTTATTATTTGAGCATGAAACAAAGCAATTTTTAAAACAACAATCATTTAGTAGCCAGAAAGTATTTCAGAAGTTTAAACAAGTAGCAAAAATAGAAGAGCTGAAAAATCTTACCTCATGAATTGTAAAAGTAGTCCCTGAGTTAAAAACACCCAGGTTACAGACAACCCATAGTTAAGAACAGAGCCTGTTGTAGCAAAATTTGAGTTGAATGCACAATGATTTGAATTAAATACACAATGGTTCGAGTTCATTACACAATACTACTTCCACAGCATTATACAATAATACTCTTCCGGCTTACAGACCTTGGGAACAGATCATTCTTAAACTGGAGACTACCTGTAGTTTATTTGTCTCAATCACATGCTAAATACTATACAATACTGAATATTAAAAAAGGATCTTTTCTTACTCAGAGATATTACAATAAAAATGTAAGAAAAGCTTCTATTGGCTTCCACCAAATGTTTGGGCAAATATGTAGGCTGGTGTAAACCCAATCAGGACCTGTGAAGCAAGTATACTGCTTAACATAAAAAATAAAACAGGACAGTAGTGTCATGCTTACAATTCTATGGCCCAAAAGACTGGTGGAAAAAATATCAATATTGCCTCTGTATAAAACACGTATAGCTTTGTTTTGAATAAATAAACATGTTATATATGTGCCATATTGGCATACATATAACATGCTTATTTATTCAAAAAAGATTATAAACAAAGCTTTCATTTAATAAATAAATAAATAAATAAATAAATAAATAAATAAATAAAATGAAAGAGTTGCTCTGAGGCAGATCACTTTGCCCACATAAGTATTACTTAAGGTTTCCCAATTTGGAGATACCTTACTATTTAATACATTTGAAATGGATATCTGATGTGATCAAATGTGTTGTATGGCACTTTTATTTCCCAAGTTTCAATAAAATGCCAATAAGAAGACTTGAGA